AATACAGAACCTTCATTTAAAACTTTCTAACTTTGCTGGTTTATACTGTGCTTGGTTTGGACTGTACTGGCTTGAAAATACTAACTACCGATTTGCATCGAAGCGTTTTTTCGAAAGTGATTTTATCACTTTCAGATTTAAAAATTCCTGTAAACCTGTGACCTCCCCGTCACCACTATGCCCCGACCCAACTATGCTCCGTCCCCACTATGCACCGACCCCACTGTACTGGTTTTTTTTTTTTTTGCAAAAACTTAGTGGACCAAATAACACAAATACAATGTCTTGTTATATTTTGTTGGAATGGTCGACGATTCATGTTTCAATCGTTTGTACTCCATAGTTTAAATTATAATCGCTTATTCTCAATAAAATTAATGATTATGTATTATATACTTCCATTATAGCAATCTCACACAAACTATTTATACTTCACAGATTATATTATTTCAAAGCTATATTATACTTCTATTTTACTAGATTGACAATGTACAAAATAAAATGCAACTAAAAAAACCTTTTCATAGAGCCTTAAAATGTAAAGGGTGGGTTAGTGAAACGGGTTTTACCATTTAAATACATTAGAAAATCGCCGTTTTGCTGCCTCATCCTGTATATTAATTTCTTGTTATATTCTAAAGAAAAATCGATTTTCTTACATTTAAATTAAAATAAATCGTATACTGGTACTGTGATGGAGAAAACAATAAATTTTACCTACATTTATTACTTATTAGTTAAATATTACTAACGTGTATAGCCACTAGCAGTCGGCTGTTGCCTGTTATTTAACAATAACCTTTAATGGAGATTTTAAAAATTGTGTTTTTTTAATAATAGCATAGGAGCAATATCATGATGTTAAATGTTCACGAGATTTGATCTAGTCATAAAATAAAGTATTATCATTTATGACTTAATTATTATTAAAATTTATCTTAATAGTAATAGTACATAATAATAAAATAATGAATTATTTTTTACAAAATTAGAGCTACAAGTTGATAAACTAAAAAAATAAAATTAGCACGAAGCAGATTATCTAATATTAGACAATTTAAACAATCAAGCGTGAATCTCTTTAAATGAATAACAGTATAACAATACACAAAACATTAGTTTTCCTTTAAAAAAATTGTGTAATAAAAAAAACATTTTGAGTCGGTATACTGCATAAAAACCAACACTTAATCTGAATCCAAAAAACAACAGTCCTCTTCATTATTTGCAGGTAGTTAGACATTAAATACTCATAGTTAACGTTCGGTAAGGTTATATAACGCAGGCTATAAAATAACGAGATAACGACAGTGGTTTTGTCGTATCAAAATCATTAAATGTCTTAATAAGTACACGGACAGGTTTTTTTCCCAATAAATCGAGTGTAATCTACTATAATCAGTTACACGATTTAGTCGCCTGTGATATCATGTAAAAAACACAATATAATGATACCGATCATTGGGCCCTTAACTAATCTAACACGGATAGACGTTACCAACTGATAGTTTTTAGTGTCTGTTCGTTTCTCACATCTGGTACACTGGGTTTTTAGTTAAAAAAAAAAAAAAAAATTGAATTTGTGTAAACTTCAAGTCAAAAGTGGTACTTGAGCACAAAACCTAATAGTATCATTCTGCATAGATATAAATAAAATTGTTTTAATGATTTGATCAATTTTTTTTAAAGATTTTAGGTGTTTTTGTTAAAATATACGCAATGTGCGAAAACACGGTTTTCCGGCAATTAAAAAAAAACTGTAGTGCCGAATTTTTCACCCGCTTAATATGTTATGGATACATATGAGTTCCAACTACTGGCAAATTTTCAACCCAAAAGTTTTAAAATTACGGCTAAAAACCCCGAAAAACAAAAAAACTTGTACCCCCCCTAGGGGGGCGGGAAATGGGTATATTTTGAATTTGACAAAACTGACGTGCGCGGGCATAACAAATAAATATTTCTTATACATTTCAACTCGATCCGACTCTTTTTCTCGATACTATAGCCAGTAAAAGTTTTAACTTAAAAACTCGTACGGTTTTTTTTTTGTTTTTTCAACTTTCGTCTGTGAAGACTTAAACTTTTTCAACTTTTACCCCCCCAAAGTACAAACTAGACAAAATTTGTGATTTATAGAGTTGCTATTCGAAGGAATTGGTCTAGTATTAAAAAAGTTACAGTGTATACAGCGAAAAAAAAAGCCCACATCAGAGTAAAACCAATACCTTCTCGCTTTGCATCGAAGCTAAAATTTAAAAACATATTGAAAAATGTAGTAAAATATGTACATACAAATTTAGGGGAAAAAATGTGAATTTAACAGCCGGTGTCAAGCGCTTAAGCTTAAGTCGCTTTCATGTGGCCACAAATATTGATGTTGCTTAAGCAGAGTTCTATGAAATAGTCCCGTCAATAGTTGATACATTTGTTCCTAAATTTAAGTCTACAAGTCCTATTTGGATGATGACTTTGTGAACTTTGTAAGACGGTGTTTATATTGTATTTAAATATGTACATCAATACACTTTACTCTTTGAGTGTCAATAAATCAAATAATAACAATATATAAATAAATTTCTTAAAATTTTAATTTATCAAATTGTTCAGTATCAGTCTTGTACAATTTTTGGTTATTTGGTAAATATATGTTATAAAGTAAGTGTAAAATCGTGGCGCCTAGTAAGCACAACAATATATATTTATGTTAAGTTGGTGGACTGAAATTAAGCAAAGTGACTCTCCTGTAAAATTCGATAAGGTGTTTTTCGCTATTTCCCAATCATTAAACTATTGGAACCATCAAACTATGGGAGGGGTGGAAGATTTCAATTTTTTTTTAACATATTTTTGGGGAATAAGGTAAAAAGTCATTGGAACGTTTGTCGACGTGTTATTAATACAACACCGAAGTGGTTTGGTAATATTTACATTTCATAGTTAATAAAATAATATAACCAACATGGCTCGCTATTGTGGTAATCGCAAAAAATATTTATATTATATTTTTATATTATATTTTTTATATTATATTTTTTTATCAGGGCTAGATAATAACGAAACCGATGCCACACTGTGCTTGAAATTATCTGTAACGCCACCCAAACGATGTGAACGATTAAAAAGAATGATAATCCATTGTGTATGAATCACACGCGAAATACATTAAAAACAAATAAATGTTAGGGAATAAGGGGAAAAAGCCTTATTGAATTTTACAGGAGAGTCACTTTGCTTAATGTCAAGCCACCAACTTAACATACGATATTGTTATGCTAACTAGGCGCCACGATTATACACATATTTTATAACTTAAAATGTTTACTAAATAACAGAAAATTGTTCAAGACTGATACTGAACAATTTGTTAAATTTGAATTTTAATATATATGTTTATAAATTACACATACATATTATATTGTATACTATGTCATATTTTGTTGTAAAATATTAGTATTAACCAAGAGGAAATAAGAGCTTAACTCAAAGTTATTTCAACTCAATTAGGTACTAATTATTTCATAAAAGTCTTTAAAAATGATAACAAATATTAAAAAAAAAAAGTAAAAAAATTATGGTAAAACCAATACATTCCACGCTCCGTTTGAAATCTAAAATAAAATAAACTAAACCATAGGTAGTTCTAGCAGTTAATATTACTACAATAGTGTAATTTCATAATATTATGTTACAGACTACAGTTTAGTCTGTAACCCAAATTTTTCCTTTTTTTCTTGATTTCAAACGTTTTTCGAATGTTTTTAATATTTTTCAAAGGGTGTATGCGATTTAATTTTAACATTTTTACAGAACATTGACCAGGCACGCTTCTATCCACACATACCCTCAAATCCAAATTTCGACAACCCTCCCACGTCTGGGCGTTGGGGATTCGGATGTTTTTATTAATTTTTTTGATTAACTATAGGATTTAAGAGTTGAAAATTACTCTGAAGATAGGTCTAACATATATATCTATAACATGTGTAAAAAGGTGATGGTTATTTACAAAAGATATTATATATCTTAATACCTTTGTAAAATAACCTTTACTTTTTTCTACATGTTATAGATATCGTCACCATATTGTAGTTTGTCAAAAACAAGTGGTATGTTTTTGACCGTATTCTATTTTTTTTTTTTTAGAATGAAGTATCATAATTTATAAAAAAACAACTTCCATATTTTTACATTTGATTTTCTATATGAGTAGAGTTGTTATTTTTCGCGTACACTCAAAATAAACAAACACCATAACACCATATTGTAGTTTGTCGAAAACAAGTTGTTTTTTAAAACCGTATTACCATATTGTTTGCGCAAATTATACCGGATACTTGTTTTGTACACTCAAGTACACAATAACTGTATTAGATTGTTCTCAAGTAAACATACATATAAAAAAAAATAGAATAAATAGTTTAACAATAACGAAATTGCATTAGCTGTTGTTATAATAATTAATAAGCTAAGATTTGGCTAAAACATATAATAGTCATTTAACCGTTTTAAAACGAATTCAGTAGATTTAATTAAGTAAATATTAGGGTCGATTTTAAATGTTTTATAAAACAATGGAACAACTGTATAAAATCAATAGACCGCAAGAATAGAGAGAGGGCGGAATATTGTAAAACCCAGCTAAACAAAAAGTATAGTTTAATGCTTTCCAAAAAAATGGTTACCAAGATGAATTATAATGTTGTTGAAAGTTAAAATCTCAAACCCTACAGTGTCCCACATCAGATGGATCGCCCTGTATCACTATGCAAATACTTAGTCACACAACATATTTTCCGAATAATATCTGTATAAGAAAAAAATACTACCAATATAAACAAAAAAAAATATATAATCTTATCTAGGCCAAACTAACGCACTTGCGATATTGGCAATACAATTAATGTATGTAGTGAAAAAATAACAACCCAGTTGCACCTTTGCGCATTTGCGTGCCAGTCGAATGTGTAGAACCGTTCACTGTTAGTACATGTAAAAAAATGGTTTGGCATGTGATTGTCGCGTTGTTGTTGTCGAATGCCACGTCGGGTGCTTCGGATTTAAAGAATCCGTTTACCGGCAGCAAAAAACCGGACGAGCACAATGCTTATCCGGAAAACTTGCACTGCATTTGTTCAATTTACATGCTACATTATTTCAAACTAAATGCCATTGTGTTTAGAAATACACTAGGAGTCGGTATGGCCGACAAATACGACTCTGCCGTGACGGCCGACGCACCGTTGGAGGCTTTAGATAGGTTTGACGAACGACTTCGGTCCCAAGGGCATATCGTTTGGGCCATGCTCGACGAACTCAGAGAGGTGGCGCCGAATTCCAAACCGCCGGACGACCTGATGCAAGTGAACTTGTACTTGAACAACTTGACGGGCAGTACCCGCGTGAGTATCGAGAACGTGCCGGCGAAAGATCGGTCTTACAGATTCATAAAAGGTTACCAATACTTGTTCAAGAAAATGGCGGAGGCGCTCACGAAGTCCATGGACGACGGTCAGTGCAAGAGTGAAAATTATACTCCAGCCGCCGGAGACGACCGAGGCGGCGAGTACGGCCAAACGAAATTGGCAGCGATCAAACGGCTGTTGGTGTACCCTCGGGTCGTCGACGATTTAACCCAGGTGCGGGCGATACTGGAAAGCAACAAAAGACAAATGGAACGACTCTTCCAGCCGACGTTCGACAGGGAAAACTACATGGACTTCAAACCGGACTATTTGCTGTTTAACTCGTTGGCGCGAACCGACTTGGAGTACATGAACATGATGTTCAGCAACGAACAGCCGGTGAACTTTATGGGCAACAAAAGGGTCATGCTAAACGATTCGTTGTTGGTGAGCAACGTACTTACTAATTACTATCCGTTTGGCGAAAAACATAAGGCCAACATACACGACCTGTTGGTTTGGGTTCGAGCAGTCTTCCACCAGGACAATGTCGTTGCGTTCCAGCAACACGTGATGGCCGCCGCATTATCGCCCGTGTTGGTATGCTTGGGCAATTATTTCCAGATATTCGACCGATTGCATCCGGGCCGCACGATAGACATAAACGAAGACACTTCGATGTACGTCAAGTACGAGCAAACGTTGCGGGACTTGGCGCAGAATTTATTTGGCCATTTACAGACGTTGGTGAATTTGAAACTGTTCCCCCGAACCGTACAGGACTACCTGGTGTATATCTCGGACAAAACCGCCGAAGTCATAGATTATTCGTACGATCCTTATTCTCCACTGATCAGCGGTGTTCTGGACACTGTTTCCAAAAACATCTTCTCGGTGATGGGTTTGTTCAAACTGAAATTCTCCACCAATGTGGACACCGCCGAAGGGGTGGAATTGGATTTTAATAAAAAATCCTATGTCGGTAAAATTCTCGAAGACTTTGACGACGAAATACGCAATATCGGCACTTATGTCGCAAGTTTTGAAAAATACAAATACTCATTTCTGAGAGGACTCAAGGTCTACAGTCACAATAATATGTTTGGATATCCACGTTTCGACATACTCAATACAAAACAGTTAGGTAAGTCGTTCATCTAGAACCATCTTAGAGCCGGTGCCATTAACTTTTGAATATAACGCATACCAATTTATTCCAATTTCGACCTGTGGTTTTAGGTTACAAAGTTGTCAAAAACGATCTTGATAACCCACCAATAATCCAACTGATTTAATGTTGGGTGAGTATTTTTTATCATTATTAATATATGTACAATGATTTTAATTTATCACGATTCATATGATTAATGTACTTTATTTTAATATGTTCAACATAGGTCATTGACTACAATCACAGTTTTATAGTATTTAATTATAATTCAGTTCTGTATAAAACTGATTCAATGTTCAAATTACCAATAGTACATCTGTAAGGCAATGTATCCTGCACATTATAAAATTGCACTTCATATGAACATGACGTTTTCTATTAATATATTTTATGCACTCATTTATTGATCGTTTACAGTTATTGGCTATTATTTATAACCACATTATCATTTTGTACCGTCTTAACCGTTCACCAATTTCAATTAAGTAAACTCATTTAAATAAGTAAGAGACCATCGGGGTCCATCGAAAAGGGTTAACGAAAAGGTAAAACTGAAAACAATCATCAGTATCATTCAAATGTCAGAAACAGACATTTTACCTTTACTTTGATACTCAACAATATATTTTGTTAAGAGAATGCTTATAGATAAAATATTTTTTCTTTCATCTCTGATGTCACATGACAATAATATTATTATGATTACATTTTTTTTTATCAGACTATTTGTTTTTCCGTTTCATTTGTACCGTATTGTAAATTGCATGTCAGTATTCTAAAGAGCTAAAGAACAAATATAATTCTCACAGCAAATCAAAATAGACATACAAAATACAATTTGATATACATTGATATACAAAGTATATCAAATACTTTAGTTCATATATAACTGAAGCTGATAAATCAGAATGATTTTAACCCTAAAGTCATACACGTCAGCAAGAATGTAAAGTTGTCATATAATGTTATAGGAGAGCCATTTAAATTAAATAATAACACATTGAATGGTATAATAAACAATGGTTCTGTTGTTATGCGAGTAACTCCAGTAATCAAAATGGTTTTGAATACTTTATATAGTTGTTGTTGTACTCACACACTTAAATAATATTATACCTAACAATTATTTGTTAATATCTAAAAAAAAATGAAATAAGGTCAGTCCTAGCTTATGTAGTTTGAAGGTGATATAGTTTTAACTAAATGTAAAGAACCACATTACCTTAAGTCTTACGGATATGACGAATCTAATTAAAAGGATCTCTTTTGTTCAACTCAATTTCTCCGACACGGCTTGGACTCGACAAAATCATCACAGCTTGGATAGGCTTAATCCTCTGTAATACAAAATGTTGAATGGTAGATAAACGGGTTTCAGTACTAATTACTTATAATGTTATCAACTAACTAAAATTATTAGGGTTTAACATGTTCAGCAAATTATTCTTAATTCAAAAAGGTAACATAATATTATAAGTTTTCATTTGAAAATCTTAAACTTTTAGGGTTTCCGCACCAAGTGATGGGATTAGATTGTGTTGCAAAGTACCTACGTCGAATTTGGGTTAACTAATAACTATAAAAGTATGAAATAGAACAATTAAAGTCCAATCTCTTATACATTAGGTTAATGCCTATTTTTTCTGTTAGACCATGTAACATCAGGTCATTAAGATGGATAGTAAGTAGATATTTGAAAAAAAAAAAATACTGTGTTTAGACTCATCGAGCTATTAATCATTTATAAACGCCGTCAATACGATTTTTTTTTTTAGTTTATTACTCATATTGTTAACTCTTGATCATTATATAGCTTTACCATCCAACTAACGCTAAATGTTTTTTCAAAATCAGTTCTTGGCTCGTCGTAAAATAATTCACATCAGTTATGTAAATCTTTTTCTGTAAAGGGGTTTCAAAAATATTTTAGAACGCGGTAAAAGGGTTTTTAGGTACATTTGATTTGTAAATGTATTTAAATAATTTATAACGCTTCAATTTTGTTCTTTGTTAAAACGCTAATTGTCATATTTTACCTACACAAGTACTGTGAGTTTAAGGTTACCGCGAATAAGTTCTTTCGAAACACTTAAAACCTTACTGATATGCTAGTAAAAAGGATTTTTAATTATTTCAGTTGTATTTTATGAAAATTACCTCAGCAATCAGCTATACTATGCATTTTTCGGTTTTAAAACATACAATTGGATGGAACACCTGTGTCGATATGTTTTTAAGTTTATGCTCTTAAAACAACCGAAATACAAGGCCTACGTTATGTTTTACACCGATAAAACCACAAACATGCAGTTGAAATTATTCTTTTACATTTTTTTTTTTATAATGCCTCTTGTATTGTTATTATTTTAATAAAAACATGCAAATTATGCAAACATTTCCAGGCGCTTATTATTATTCTTCAATATGTTACGTCTTGAAAAATATTTTATAAAACTACAAAAACATTGTTTAGTTTTATCATACCGATGAATTATACACCGTAAGAACCAATTCAAACCAAATCAATATACAACACAAAAAAGGGTTCACAATAATAAACATTGAAATTCAGCTGTTTTACAATGATATTCGGTTAGGTTAGGTTTTAAATCCTTGTAAGCCTGTAAGTGTTTTGTTAGTTTGTCGTTATTATTTATTTTTTTGACGTTTTACAGCGTGCTCTTGATCTGCGAATATTTAGAATATTAAGCACTTCATTCATCGCTGTGTTGTGCGAATCAAATTTAGTTCCACACCGATATTTCATGTCACGTCATGAATCACTCTTGCCAAGCTCTCTCACAAGTGTGAGCGTTCGTAAATCATCACACTATCAATAGTGCACGACCATTTTTCATATCATGGCGAATAGTACATATAATTTTCATAAATTCATAATTCACGATACAGCAAAAAATATATAAACCAAACACACATATCATCGCATCGTTACTATTTTATATGACAATAAATAGGTGTAATCGCGGCAGTGCAAATCGTGTCTTCGGATGGGCGATTTTAAAACCAACCGAGAATGTCCAAACACGGTTTGAGTTAGCTCTGTTAATAATGGCCACTAAACGCCTCAGCTGTCAACTTGCATAGTATTATTATGCTAAATAAATTAACAGCAAATTATGTTTGTCTATTATCGTTTCCCAGGCCTATTCTAAGCAGAGTACTTAGCTGATAAACAAATAATGGAAATGTGCGCACTATGTTTATTTTCTATATGGTTACTACAACTAATTATAAAATTTAAATATACACCCACCAACATATGTTTGAAACAAAATCACATTGTTAAAAATTTTAGGTCACATAATCATATTTGCATTATATACAGGGTGATCCAACCGCTAACGTAAGACACTCATTTTTTTAAGTACACGTTTTACTACATTTTTCAATATTTTGACAATTTTTATCACCAATCCTTATATAAGTCAAAAAGGGGGATTTTTGTGTTTTTTTTTTAAATGGCAACATGTTATGTTTTTAATTACATAAATTTGTAGACAAAAAATTTAAAAATATGTTCGCATTTGAATTTAAATTTATTTGTTCATTTGTTATGACTTGTTGGTCGGATCAACCTTGTATATATATATATATTTTATTTTTTAGTGTAACCACCATTTACCATAATATTCAGATCGACGCCTCCGTCATGTTTGCGACGTAGTCGATATATATATATATATATTATAAACATACAATATTAAAATACGCTTATATTATAAGAGGCAAACATCTAAATCTGAAATCCTGTAGCCTATAAACGTTTTCGCAGCGTAATTTTGCATTAAAGCCTTCTCGAGTGGAACACGCTTGATTATGACCTGTCAGGCAAACGCGGAGCAGTGTGTTTCTTAAATAATTTTGCCCTTAACAAGCGTTAAGGTGAAATGGGGGGGGAAAAAAAAGTAAAATTATAAAACAAATTTCCACGTACGAGCAGATAGAGGGAAGAGGCACCACGATGGAGCTTCCATGATAATATTATTCAGACAGAAACGACAGAAATTATTATCATACATTACCATTCGGGGGTTGTTCGGGACGGTTGTTATGTGTACGGGTGCATACGACCGTGGTTTCGTTATTATTATTATAATAATTTGCGGTATATTATACTATGTTGTTTATCAGACGGAAAGCAAAATATAAAAACAAACTGCGGTTCTATAACAATATGTTCGCAACGACCAAGACGACAACGCAGCAGCAGCAGCAGCCAGCAGCTAGCAACGCGGGTTATTCGACCTAACGGCCTCTTGCGCCATTATAATAATATCCACACGATAGCTGTACCACCGTTCTTCTTTATTGTCTTTCATAGAGTAATATTACTATTATTATTATTACTAACGTCGCTTATACCAAAATCGTCGGCTTATTGGACCGACGGCTGTCCCAGACACCCCGGCGGGTTCAGAGTTTCGAAACGTTATTCTCGTCCGTGTTATTGTTATTATTACCATCAGCGTCTGGCCAAAATGGGGCACACTACTGGCTTGGCTTTTGACAATTACACCGCCGTTCGGCGCACATAGAAAAAAATATAAATAACACTGCCGACGGTTCGCTTTTAATAAACTACACGAACAGCGTCACAAGTCCTGTATAATACACTCGCATAAGTAATTTCGTTTATGCGTTCTATCGACTACAACAACAATAAAATATGTCACACACAGCTTCGAGGGGATTTTATAATAATATACAGGGCGTCTCAAAAAGAACGGTGGGGTTAACAATGATGATGAACTCCCTGTTTCATTCAAGAGCGCTACCAGAGCGCTGTAGGCCGAATACTCAACAACCCACAGCCGTTTGAAACCCCACCATTCTTTTTGGGACCCCTGTAGTATCGCGTTTGCAGCTACGAGGTGGGGTTGGTTTTTGAAATGACGTTAAGAACCCTACACAATATGAGAGGTAAATCAACTGACAAGAGATAGGATGACGATTGATAACGGACAAGGCAGTGATAACAATAAGGAAGTCGATTCGGCAGTGGATGTTGAAGGCGGGGCGTTTGGGGCCGAGCGGAGCGTATGATTGGTCGGTTACCGCTGACCACCGACCAATACCGTGTGAGCATGCGCGCGCACGTTAGAAGCAGTCCAAGGGGTGGGACGCTGGCTGAATCGAATCTGTACACTCTATTCAAAAAGAGAATAATCATAGATAATTAAACAATGGATGGGCCATCGAGCATATCGCCCGAGATAACCCCTTGCCAGAAAGAGACATAGATATTTCCGTGGAAAAAAAACTGACTTTCTCTCTTCCCCAGTCCGGCACGAGACCATTTATTTTGCTAAAATAGGCATCCATTGTTTTAATACCTACGAGAATGGTTTATTTTCTGTTTATTTTATATAAGTTTAAAAGCCATTTCAAGTATGCCAACTCGTTTGAGGACAAATAACTGACAAATAATTGTTTGTTAATTCTCATGTGTTTCACCTCTAGAGTTATAATGTTTTAATTATAACAATTTTAATGTTTCTGAGCAGTTGTAAAACTTATTAAAATGAATTTATACTTCCACTAGAAACTGCTATACAAAAGATAGAAATATCACATTTTCAAATGTTTGTAGCGTTAAAAAAAAAAAAGAAAATCTAAATAACAAAGTGTCTCACAACGTTAAATACTCGAGAAATGAAAATAACGTTTAAATGCATTGTCGAGTTTAACAAGTGATATAGAAAAAGTTGAAATTCTGCTTTTAGAGAAAACGGAGAAAATATAAAAATGTAGTTTTTCCATCTACAGATTCGCATCGAATCTTTTTTTTTTTTTTTAGTATGCTCTTTATAACCCTTATTTATAATAATTCCCAAAGACGTTTGTCCTGCGCGACCCAATTATGCCACTGTGCCACTGTACCGGCTTTTTATGATTCCACTGTGATTTTATTCCCTCTTTTTTTTTTTTTTTTTGTTAAGGGCCTCGCCCGCGGCTATTCTCTGCGGGGAAAATATTATATTGGACAACACATATTGTTTAAAGCATGTTACTTATTTCCAGATCAATTTGTTTTGGCTGTGGGCTACACCAACACTTTTTTTATTACGCCATCCGTTCGTGTCATGTCTGTGTGTCACGAATAATGGTAAATATAATGTAATAAAAATAAAAAATTGCAAAGAATAAAACGGCGAGCGCCAATTCGACCGGATAAAATTAATGCAAATCATAAATTTGATTTTTTTACCACTTAATAATTGACCGACGGTTGTATTCGCGACCACGAATGACCCAATTTGAGATTAATAAGATTCTGCAAAGTTCTCGGTAATGCATTACGGTGGTATAATTTTGG